TTTACTTAGTTAAAAATAGAAGGACACATTCCTTAACGTACAACATTCACTAACATATCCTCATGCAACATTTTCGAGAGTCAGTCTACAGATTTAACAATAAATTCCGTTTTACGTATGACGAAATCTTTAATCAATAAAACTAGTCATTTTTATTTTGTACGGGCTTCATAAATATTGCTTCCCAAACTCTTGCATTACATCGGTGTTAAACAGGAAAAATCACCTACAGTTATATATCCATAGAATACAGAATAAAACGATTAATAAATAATAAATTTTATTATTCGCCCTTGAAAAATTTATAAAGATAAGGGTCTATATTTTTGACAATTAATAGATTAATTGATTTCGCTATTTAGGTACACACGCTTTTATTCATGATGTAAAATCAAATATCAATCAAATATGATAAAATAGTTTTCTTATTCTAATTCATTAATTATTTTGTAAGTTTTAAATAAAAGCTAAATTCATAAAGACCTTTTATTTTGATCTATTAGCCTCAATCATACATTATCCATCAAATTAATAAATTGAAAAGTCGATTTTCAATAACGACTAATCTCTTTTATTTTCAACAATTCTGTTCCGTTGAATTATCAAGAAAAACAGCAATTTTGCTAAAAAATGAGAACGTACTTCAACAATTTCACATAAATTCAATAACGTTCGTTTCTGTATTTTTTCTCATTCTGTCCAAACAATAAAATTCTGAGATTTTTATTTCGTTCGTTAAACGACGATACGTGAGAAAACCCGCTTCAGCATTAAATTTGAAGTAAATATAAATTAAATGCTTGAAAACAAACTTTTCACCCTGCTGTATTGTCATCTACAGAGTGTTTCTGTGAAATCTGAACTCGATATCTTTAGCAAGAAATAGTAAATACCTTAAAAGTCGACGGCAATGTTTTGACTACAGTGACAAACACCATGATGGGGTTAAATAAAAGTCTCCTATAAAAAGTGCGGCTAGTTTAAAAAGTTCTAGAAAGTCACCTAATAAATCCTTTTATTTTCATTCTTATTTTAAAAGAGGATGAAGAGTTTTTTTCCCATGACCTTACATAAAATTTCAAATCTTTAAAACATTAATTTTGGATTGAAGAATTTTAAATTCCCATAAGAGAATACAATATTACGTACCATAATAAAATTCAAAAAAATAACTTTTAAAATAAAATTACCGGGAAAAATATACGTCAACTTTTAAAATTGAAAAAATTCAAAATGTCGCAGTAAATTTCATTGCAAATAATTTGAAAGCTAGCTAAACTCGGTAGCTAAACTCTGCTGCTTTTAATAATGGAATGAATAGGAAATACAAATTTTATCTGAAGGAAAATAAATAGCATTTCTAAAATGGCAGAATATTTCTAAAGGGAACCTGATAGCTTTGCAAGTAATTATTCCAGTAAAGGGAGTGATTTAATGATATCATAACCTTAAAGTAGGTTTCGAAATGATTGCGAAGGAAGCAATTTTATCGCAAATACGTATGTCTGAAAAAATTTCAAGAAATTAGGTGGATAGAAAAAGTTTAAATATTAATTTAAAAATTTTACCCGAACAGAGAAACTTTTTATTAAATTTAATTAAATAAAACATATAATAAAACATTCTAGGCAAAATAGTACATTTTTATAACTATGTAGCCTTTTTCAAAGTAATTGAAGCACAAAAAACTATATAATATTTTATGCTAAATTTTTCTTCTGCGTTAATATTTAGCGCTGGTTTGAAAAAAAAGCATTAGCTCAACTTAGCAGAAATCCAATCGAAATACTATGATAAGTTATTCTTTTTAGCACCAAAGAACATTTTTTTAGCACCATACTCTAAGCCATCAGAGGAAAATCGATCGCACCAGACAACAATTAGTTCAGCAAACAACAAAATATCCAATGAGCTTTTTTTTGGTTCAACAAAATGTTCGAAACACAGATAGAAAGAAACTAAGAAAACGAGACGAAGAGAGAAAGAAGGAACGGTAGCTCAAAATCGTATTCATTGCAGCCCGAGTATCTGTCAACAAACTAGAAGATGAAGTTGAAACTAATATTTTTCTTTCTGTATCCTCATCTAATAACTGTCGTAAAACAATTTTAAGATTTATCTTCCTATAACCATTTTTTGTTTGTTTGTTGTTGTCCATCTATTTGCTTTATCGATCAGAATCAGGAAAAAATTAAATAATTATACTTTTTTAAATTTCCTGTAGTACAAGAACATGGCAAACGTACTTGAAAAACTAAAAGCAAAGGAAAATAGTAGCTTTCGTTTATGTATTAACATTACGAATTTATCAAAACAACAGCAAATAGTCACAATTTGCTTACTGGTTTAAACATAAAATTACTTCATAATTCTATAAGTAAAATTAATTCCGGGAACAAATAAATTAACCAAGATTAACAATACGTAAAGTTTTAGATTATATACACATTTAGGAAAGCTGAGAAATGCTTAGATTTATTAGAATCGATATGAAGATGAATGTGAACATTCTGTGATATAAAACACATAGCTTTAACAAAGCCTTTTATTGAGCACGTTAATTCTGATATTAATAAAATTCTTTATCATCGAAAAGTATGTAAACAGTACAGGTACAGGTAGAAGTGGGCAATACACCAGATATTCTCCATCGGTCGAACAGCTACATTGCGAGGAAAAAAAAGGGGGAGACATTTCTATATCTCCCGTTCTACTGGGCCGATTGAAGAAATTCAAACTGTGTTTTTCATATCTCGAAAGCGCAACTTAAGATACGTATTAGAATTATGTATAGCATACAGAATTATGCATAGCATTATTCTAATATAGGTATTTTGACACACAACTGGACTTCTTCGGAAATCACATGCCATTTTTTTGCATATTTCGAGTCTACGCCTTTAATTATGCCAAACTACCAAATTTTGTAAAATTCTCATGAGTAGTTTTTAAAAAATTAGCTCTCAAAAGTTTAGCTCCTCAATGTTAATTGAACTTTTGAACTTGGTATATATTTATTATTCTCTCTCTTTTTTTTTTTTTTTTTTTTTTTTTTTTAATTAAACTTATTTGATTCTTCCTTACACATTTCGAAATTTAGGTTTATTCCAAATAAAATTCGTCCATTTTTTATGATTTATTTTAAAATAATTTTTATAATTTTTTTGAAAAGAAAAGTGAATTATAACCTATAAAAATTCCATCATCATCGTAAAGTAGATGTATTTCTAAGCATACTTTCAAAAAATTAGTTTTCCGAAGATATACGTGAATTTATATATTGGCGTGTTTTGAAATTTGGCATATTCGTTGAAAGCGATAACAACATCAAATATGGTTTAGGAATTTTTGTTAACTTATTTGAAAGTAGGAACGATAAGACTTTGTTCTGCTCATGAACAATGTAAAAAGATAGAAAGCATGCGACTTTTTTCCCTCTCCTGCACAAGGGAAAATAGGTTGCCATATATTAAGAAGTTCGCCAAGTAAATTGTTCTTGACGCAAACTGAAAAAAACGCGCCAAGATAAATTTTTGAATTTCTCCGTAAATTTCGCACCAAATTTGCAACATTTAATATTTAGGCATAATTTCAGTCGTAGAATCGAAATATGGAAAAAAGTGGTATGTTATTTCAGAAAAAGTCCGACTTTGTGTCAGAATACCTATGTTAGAACAACGCTATATATAAATCTAATATTTATCCTAAGTCGCACTTTCGAGACATGAAAAACGCTGCGTGGATTTTGTCGATCGGCCCAGTAAAACGAGAGATATAGAACTGTGCCCCCCCTTTTTTTTCACAGTGTACATATACAGTCTCTTCGTACTAACTGTGCAGGTTTGCTCCAATTTTGAGACACCTATTTGCTCCGGTAGACACGCGTAAGAATTACCTATGGATGTGCCCAACGACTAATATTATACTATATTTTTGCCGAAGTCAAGCCATAATTCTGCTCTCAGATACAAAACCACTTAGGTAACAATGAATGCAAGCAAAATAAAAATCTACAATAAGAAAATAAGATGAACAATAAGTCCTGAACAAAATAGCAAAGTTGAAACAAGCAGAAAACCAATGAAAACCGAATATATGCAGTGCTAATATGTTGTGATATTGAAGTAAATGGCAGTTACAAACATACTATACATGTTTCTAAACGTAATGCAGTTACAGTTAGAATGAAAAAAGGGGAAGAAATATATAACAGAAACAAAATACCTTCTTCCATAACACTGATACAGGAAACCAATTCATAAGCAGTACTGTATGTTGTTGTACAACAATAGATATAGATTATATGGATAAATTGTTATAAATACCAGTAGGTACAGTTACACTGCACTACTTACTGGGGGATCAGCAGCACTGGGATCACATTTTGGCAGTTTGTAATAATTCGCGGATAATTTTAAAATACTGTGACAATAAGTTGACATTAGGGTAATTGGAAAAGCCAGAGACATGAAAAATTAGCAAACGCCTTCGTCAGGAATCGAACCACGGACGTCTGGAATACCAGCCCAGCATGCAGAACCACTACACCACGAAGGCATGCTAGGAAGGCGGGAGAAATACCCTATATACTCCCCCTTTTAAAGGGAGACTGGGGTTTTTAGGGGACCCAATCGTCAAATAGTGGGTGGGGGAGAAATCACCATAAACCACCCTTTTAGTTCGGGCGCCACTGTAGAGATATTAGTGTAACTGGAAAAGCCGGAGAGATGAAAAATTAGCAAACGCCTTCGCCGGGAATCGAACCACGGACCTCTGGAATACCAGCCCAGCGTGCAGAATAACTGCACCACGAAGGCATGCTAGGAAGGCGGAAGAAATACCTTATATACCCCCCTTGTAAAGGGCGACTGGGGTTTTAGGGAATCCAATCGCCAAATCCTGGGTGGGGAGAAATCGTCATACACCACCCTTTTAGTTCGGGCGCAACTGTAGAGACATTAGGGTAATTGGAAAAGCCGGAGAGATGAAAAATTAGCAAATGCCTTCGCCGGGAATCGAACCTCGGAACTCTGGAATACTGGTTCAGCGTGCAGAACCACTACACCACGAAGGCATGCTAGGAAGGCGGGAGAAATACCTTATAAAGTATATAATAAGAACCGCCCTATCAAGAGGAATACGAGATATTTATGTTTTGTGGATAAGTTTAATTGGTAATTAATTATTTCGAGATGTTGCACGTGAAAGCCAGTTGTATTACAGTGTCGATAAGGAAAACAGAGTAATTATTTCTAAAGCACTAATTACTCCATTTTCCTCCATAAATTATTAGTGTAAATTAATATTTAACATGAAGCAATAATCAACCAAGCGTGAAGTGACTGATAGTATTGAAAAGCTTCAACTCAGCATGCCTTTAACTCGACAACCACCTACATGATAATGTGGTGAAAGCTAGCCAATGTGGTGAAAGTTAAAGGAATAGTGGAACTGTTAGCGACATCGTAAACTTATGAAGATATTAAAGCTGCTAGAGTCTTGAACTGTCTTGACCTTATGCAGTACGTTTCTTAATTAATTTAGCGAGTTAAGAGTTATATATGCATTGCTTAATAACTATATTTCATTTCAAATAATGCATATAATTAAAGTGATGTTTAATATATTTAAATTATATGATTTATCATATGCCTCACTGGTGATTTTTATAAATATTTGCATCATTACTGTAATTATTTCTGCTGCCGTGGATTAATTGCCTCAGCACATTACTATCATTTTCACATTGCCTAACAATTTTTACCTAATTTTTTACAATCGTTTTACTGCTTTACAGTAATTAAATTTTTTAAAATAAATCCTTTTTGTGCTCACAAAAAGCAAAGATCTGTAAAGTATCACCTGACACAAGGAGAATGAATATGAATGAATGAATGAATATGAATATGAATAAATCTTTCTGAAGCGTGGCATTATTAATATATTAAGACTGCTGTAAGTTGTTAATTCAAATCTATACATTTAAAACTAGTCAGCCCCAAGCAAATTTAAGAGACTTTGAACATAAAATATCCACAGTTGTTTTCAGCTGTGGGAATAATACTATTGTTTTTCTTCATTCAAGTGAGTATCGCAATCCCAACCGTGCGATAGCTAAATTCATATTCCTTCATATTCCTTTCAATCCTTGTTTCAAACTGACTCCAGTTTCGTAAATAATTTATATGTAAGATGGGATCGCGTCGAAGTGAGAAGTTCTATTCACATAACATTTTAAGAAGATTAAAGTTTCCTTTCTGAACTTATAAGCTATATAAATTTCCCTTTGTTTAAAATTCAGAAGTATGATAGTTCGGCCCAATGTTCTCAGTTTCAACCGAGCTGTTGTATTATCAAATAGAATTAGTTGCGTGACATGATCTGTTTCACTCTAAGTTTTTACGATTTAACAGTAAAAACAAAAATGGCTATTAGATGAGAGTTATATTATAAAATAGCACTAAAAATGTCACCTTTCGCTTTTATGATTCAACTGGTAAAAGTGATTCGCACAACCCCTCAGGTCATGTTTTCCCAAAATGTGTAGCCTCAAAATTTTCCACAAAACATCAGTCTATGTATGGGTTTATACTGATGGCCATTCAATTACTACAGCATGAAGAAAAATAATAAGATAATCATTTATTTTGTATTTTACATTTAAGTATCTATCTATTAGGGATATCGCATCTCACCTAACAGCTCAATTTACTAATCGGCATACCAGCCTTCTATTTACAACCCCAAAAAGAAACGGATCAAATAAGAACACTACACTAAGACTGAGAAAAGCAAACTATTGGACAAAATTTCTAGTACATTTCAAAGACATCGATCCTTTTATGCACTGCCATCTGGCAGCTTTCAAAATTAAGACATCATGCTGTTGAAATGTCAATAGCAGTTATGATGGAATAATTTTAGTTACGGATAATTCTAAAAGTGTTAGGTTAACTGAAAGTCAATGCTGTGCTTCATCAGTATAGTTTGACCGTCTCAAGCGCAACCTCAGATGGCATTCTGCCAAAACACATAGACTCGTTCAGAAGGGCGTTATTACTTGCTACGACGTGAAAGGTCACGTGAAAGTCTTCTCATCTCCGGAAAGAAAGAATTTATATGGTCGAGGAAAAGAAAGTCCCCATCCTTCCACCCTATTTTGAGAATAATTGTCATCATATTATTCGGCGTGAAGTGGCGCATGCGTGTTTGCGCTCATGGTCGCGGATGAGGCGGTCGAACTATGATAACCTTGTCGTCTCATGGATGCAGAAACTGTATCATAATAATTTAGTCTATAAGGCTATTTCACCCTTTGCGGCAAGGTGTGCCCGGTCTAGGCACACATAAAATTTTGCTTCTGTACGTACAGAAAAACTGAATGAAAAAGGATTTAGAGGTTATTATGTTTAGCTTAGGTGGTTAGTTTTCGTGGTTTCCCCACGTGTAACGTGAATAGAAACGAGTTTTCCTTAGGAAGTCTTTCACGAAGGAATCTCACCCTTTAGACAGCCTTCACGTGCTTTGCCATAATCTAATACCCTAATCTAACCATGAATGTTGAAAACGTTCTTTATTTTGGCAGAGGATTTTTGAAGCAAATATATGGTAAATAACTTAGCGCAAGAGGCTTACCAGTTATTAAATATTTCCAAATTCGCTTTTCATATATTTACATCATTCTGAAAGGCAACAAAGAGAGGCAGCAGAAAACATGCTATCAGGGCAAGCAAGCGTAATAAGGACAAAGATTATGTCTAAGATAAGATAGTGAAATTATTAAATTTTAATAGAGAGGTATAGTATCCTTTCATCACTATTGGTATATAAGAGTTTGGATTTGATATAAAGAATAAAAGATTTTACTGTAACTTTTCGCTTACATAATTATTTGCGTCATTTGCATCTTAGAAGAATCGCATGATAATAATTAGTTTTAAGATGACGCATTTCAAAAAGATTTATTACAATTATATCAGTACAATTAGGACTGAAAGGGGGATAAATGAATATAAAAGGAAACTTTAGTGTATATTACAAATTAAAGGTACGTTTTTAACTAACATATGCATACACAATGCGACTGCAAACTTTTCTAGGTAACATTTTAACACATTTTAGGAACTAAGCTAAATGATAAATGACAGTATTCATTACAATGATATCTCAACTTTTTTTCTACAATATTGTTTGTTTACGGACATAATTTTTAAACAGTTAAGAGTTCCCTTTGAACAGTGAAAAATGCGTATCATGGATTTGAACAGCAACGGCGATATTTTAAATGTTGTGTAAAATATATGAGGATCAAATCTTAACATGAATAATTGTTTTTCGCTAGTACGGAAGACCGTGATGGACGTACAGATGCTTATGATAAAACCATCTATGGCTCCGCTTCGCAATCTAGAGCCGGATGAAAATACAGCGAAATCTTATCTAACACGGGTGTTATGTCAATAGCACATTGTGCGTATGACAAAATCGCGTTCCGCAAAGTTACCTTTTCATGAAAAAAACGGCTTAGATATAGTTCCAATTAAGAAAGAATGTATAATTTATACCAACATAAAATTTATGGTAATTAATTGAAAAAATTTGATATGTACACCACATGACTTCCTTGTACGGAATATTAAATTATACGCATTTTTCTTGCATTTCATTTAAACGTATTGGATTGAATTAAATCTACTTCTCCGACAGCGCATAAACCACAACAGAATAAATGCATTTTTTAAAATTCACTCTATTTGTTTATTATAGCGTTATTCTGGCGCTTCGTTAACTTAACAGTATTATATTTCGTTCATTTTACAACTTAGAATGCCCAAAATTTATATCATTTAAAGAATTACTAATGGTTGCCACATGTTCTATTCAAATACTATAATAAAGCTAGAACGATGTATAAAAGAAATTAAGCAAACAAAACAAAAAGGAAAGAGTTTTTCCACAGACGATTGAGTATTTCTCATTCAATAAATTCAGTTCTCACTTCGCGACAAGGCAAAAATACATAAAAGCTCAAAATATCTGTATTAAAAATTACGAAGTAAATCTTAAACACTTATTTCCTCGAAAATATTCCAGAAAGGATTAAGTATGATTTAATTCGCAATAATAAATAAAGGCGTTATCTTTGTTGTTGCGAAGCTAAGTTTCTTTAGATTGGCAACAAATCCACTATCCTGCTGTTTCAAATGTAAACAAGCAATGGCCGCCATCAAAAAAATTATTAGGCTTTGCGGCACTTGAACAACTTTAATTGTTGATAATTCTAAACATATTGCATAGAGATTCACTAAGGGCATGAAAACCTTAACCAGAAGATAAGAACAACATAATTCAATCATTTTTAAAGCAAAAAATGTATAATTTACAAACATATAAGAGTAAAGAAACTGAGATCACTGAGCCGGGTAACAGAGTGGATATTTATATACGTTTGGTGCCGCCGATTGCAACCAAAATACGAGGTGCACATCTACATGTTATAGCAGTCCTATATACAAAATTTCAACGTTCTGAGGCTGCTCGTTTTTGAGTTATGCGAGATACGTTCGTACGTACGTACGTACATACGTACATACGTTCGTACAGACGCCACGAAAAATTCTCTTCAGAATTCATTTTAAAGCAGTTTTATAATTTTTTTGGAGGAAAAGAGTATTTTATTCTGTCCTTACGTACAGATATCACGCAAAAACATCGTTAAATTGCATTCGATAGCGGTCAAAATGGATATTTGCTTTGACATATGCTGCCTGAAACTTTTCTCGATTACAATACTTCCTTTTTACTTCGTACAAGGAAGTAAAAAACGAAACAAATGTTAATTGAAAGGATTTCTGATGCTGCTTAATAAGTTGGTACGTGATGCATTTATTTCTTTGAATAGCCAGTAATTTTCACTTGGGCCATTTTTGACTGACGCATTTCCTTAAATATTTCATAGCAGGTGTGCGAAGTTTTTAATAGCTCTCATGATGTATCCTCTTCTTTTTTCATTTGGGTCAATTTTTGTTACAGAATCAGACAGTTCCTCGCCTTTTTTTGGTAATTTGTTTGTCT